TTTAGTTTACCCAAAAAAAAAACAACAAATAATTCTTTCTCTTCAAATTTTATCTTCTAATTGTTTTATTTTTCATCCTTCAAAACTTCAATGCTATTATAATGTTTTATGAGAAAATTTTGATTTTGAAACATCTTTGTGCTTCAAATTTTATTTCTATTAGCTATTCAAGGGCTTTAATTGTAAGAATTTTTCTTACAAATTGTCTGAGATTAAATTTGTATATATATATTTTTTGAACAAATTGAATTTGTATATTTATTTTGTGAGGGTGTTCGTGAGATTGTTCACTTCTTTCCAAATCCTGAACCACGGAAAAGAATTTGATTTCGTCTTGCTGAAAAAAAAGAAGAGTTGTAAAAACTAATATTCTTATTATAAACAATAATTTTTTTATTAAAAATTAATTTAATATATAAATCTATTAACTATTAAATRGATTCTAAATAATTAGAAAGATAAAATATATAAAAGATTATTAATATTTAATAAATAAATAAATAATAAATAATAAATAAACTATGTTGTGTAACTTGATTAAAAAATGAAATGTTGGTTGAATCGTTGAAGAATAAATGAACTTATAATGCCCTTTATTTTAATTTTATTCCACTGGTTAAATTTTCAAGTGGTGGGTTTATTCCCATAAAATCTTGAATAAAAAGAAAATAATATAGCACGAATAGATCACTCCAAACTAGGTTCTAGATTTTAACGATCCATTGAGTCTAATATAACAACAATAATGCCTGTAGATGTAATACTTTGATCTTGAACTATGAAAATGATCATGATTTGACTCTTACCACGAAAATAGTTGGTTTCTTAATTGAACACCTATTTGGAGCTCAATGAACCTTCATCTCTTTAATTGCGAGTTTGAATTACTACCTTCTAATTTTATTGGATAATAATCATTTGGTTGGTAGAATTAAATTTGTTTATAATAAATTGAATATATGTACTAGTGTATATATAAAAATTAAGTATAAACATGTAATAGCTAACATGAGCATAGCTAAGCGATTAAAATACTTGCTCCTTCTCTAGAGGTTAGGGATACTAAAATGTTGACCTTAATGTATTAATTTGGACCTTGACAAAAGTTCGAAGCCGACTGGCATGATCGATATCTCATCAAATGGTATGGTACGAGCGTAAACATCACTATTACCTTAATTTTTCTTCAAACAAATAGATATCAATTACCACTGAGTTAGATTTGGTAAGATCAAACAAGTTAAATGACCAAAAATAAACAAACTCAAAAGTAAGGCATTAAAATAAGATTTTAAACCAAACCAAGATAAATTTGAAAATCCACGTTTTAAATAATTAATTCAACAAAAAAATAAACGTAAAACCAAATCTCCCTCAAACTACTCTCTCTATATATAATATATAGTGATTACAAAATTTCATAACATCAAACACAAAAATAATACAAAGCATCCCATCCATAGCAATCCTCTCGAATATCTCCTTCTTCTCTTGTGCGTGTCTCTTGCAAATGGTTGCAGTCTTAGTTACTCCCATGAGAATGAACAGAAGAGATGGATTTTGCAGAAACCGAGGCCGTGGGGCTGGTGGGATCTCGGTCCACGTTACTGAAGTTGGCTTTCCCGGACAGCATTTTGATGGCAATCTGAGCAACTTCGGCGAACCAGTCGTCCTCCGGCAAAGCACTGTAAGGATCTGTTCCTGTGGAAGCCAAAGATTCTATGGCTCTGGCTATGATGTTCTTGATCACTTGATGCAGATTTCGGGACAGGTAACGCCCTTGTGATGCAAAAAGTATCACGAACTCCATATCTAAGTAGAACTGCCCATCAAATCGAACCAAATTATCAAGAGTCATGCATGACTTGAATTTCGTAAATGTCTATGAGGCTTGAATTTCCTATCTTTTGCGAGTGCCCAGATTCAAATTTCCAACATAGAAAAAAAAGGAGAAATTAGAAAACGTAGAAGGAACCTGTTGAAGGCCAAAGGGGCCGATCGGGCGAGGCCCTTCCTCAACTTCTTCCCAAAAGGCTTGATCCTCAGACAGCCACAAAATCACAGTTTCAGTGAGTCTCATGAGAAGAACAGTCGCGAATCTCTCCCGCCCCACGAACATATCCGTGGCAATGCTCGCAATCCGCGTCAATTTCTCGAACAGCGCCTGAAAAATCTGCGACGGAAACCACTCCGGCTCCTCCCCGTTCCCGTCCATCGACAGGTACATCTGCGCGTTCAGCCGCGTATCGCCTTCTTCCGTGAAGATCAGCTCTAGGGCGTGCTGCCGGCAGAAGCTGTCCCGGAGCCGATCCACCGACCGCTGCAATCTTCTCTTCCACTCTCTCTGCTCCGGCACTCTGCTCGACGACGACTTCCTCGGCGTTTCCGATCTGTTCGCCGGGAAAAGCTTCGTCGCCGCCCGGGGAATCAACTCGTCCGCCAGCAGTGACGCGTTCGCCAGCAGCGCGATCTGCTGCGATTCCGTCTCCGCCAGCCGTACGATCTTCGTCGCCGATCCTTCCAGATTCATCTCGTTTTCCACCGAACTTGGGAGAGCGGTTATTAGTAGATTGATGTATGAGTTGAATACTTGTAGGACTCCCTCCAAGGTCAGTGCATCCAATTGTAGGCTCTCCAGTGATCCCATATCCTCTAGAAATTCCTGAAAAGCATACACCATCTTTTTTTCAACTCAAATACATCAAATGAAGCTTCAAAATTGTACGATTATCTGTCTGGATTCTGTTCTACTCGTTCACTGCATACTTCTAATACTTGTTAATGTTTAGAAGCAATTTGGATTTTCTAGCTATAAAAATAAACTACATATGTAAGCAAAGTCTCTTGTTTGTGGCCAGAAAAGTGAGGAAAACTAACATGATTATTGTGTATTTGATGGGTCTTCAACTATTAATTGAAATTTCATGATGCTGATGAAGTGATCTTTTCAAGAAAACCATCACAAGGAAAGAGTTTGCAAAATTAGAGGGATGGGGATATGAATCTCAAAGTGTGATGAACGCAGAATCATTACCTGAACCATTGTGTTAAATCTATGTGCACTGCTTGAAAGCTTTGGCTGCGACAAGCTTCCGAGCGACGAAGCCGAAGCAGACATCAGAAAAAGCCGAGAAGCAACCGGGGAATAAGCAAGCAACCAGTCATCTGCTGCAGCCAAGGCAGCACTGGTCTGTTCAATTCTCCTCAAATTGGCAGTTATACCATTCTCAACCAATGGCCTGAAGTGTCTGAATAGCACTGGGGAAAGGGCCAGCCCTCGAGCTTGCAAAAGAGAGCAGTGCCCCATACATATCTGAACACACTCTGCTGCAATTCTCAAGCTCCCCACAGCTGCAGATGAAGCTATCACATGCCTTTTCAGAAATACAGCAAACGCATCTGTCTGTTTCAGAGACCAAGTTACCAGCTCCGAAGCGTACGCCGGCTCCTCCCCGAAAACCGCCATCGAATCACTTGCTGCTTGAGCAATGGTGGAGAACACAAACTGCGATATAGCGGCAGTGAACGCCCCGCCGCCGCTGTTCGACGACCGGAAGCTCTGCAGGCTGCGCTGAAGCTTCTGATGGTGGGAATTCAGCAGCAGCATGTGCGCACGGGCACCGTCCCCCAGCTTCTTTAGAGCCTGCGCAGCAGACCGGAGCTCCACGCCGCGCGTGGACGGTTGGCAAATGGTCTGCTCCAGAAGGGAAGCCAGTTTCTGCCTCTGGTCTCTGATGGCAGTCTGTAACGACGAAAGCGCGGCGGCACTTAAATTCTTCCTGCGATTTGTGTTCTTGGCTATCTGCTCTCCTTCGTCCAACGCGGCGAGAGCTTCGTCCATTCTTCGCTCAACCATGAGAACTTCGAGGTTGTCCAAGTACTCGACCAGCCATTCATCCGTGTTGCGAAGCTCACTGCTCTGGTTGGATGAGTGGACCGCAGTTGAATCTTCAAGATCACCGGAGAGAGATTCAATGGTGGCTGCTTCTGCTAAACCGTGAACCAGAGCTGCCTGAGTCGACAAATGATTTCTGAGTAAAAGAAGTTCCCCTTCAAGATCTGTAATCTCCCGAGACGTTCTGCAGATGATCAGGAAGAACAGGTCAATAACTACAAAATAGAATCTTCATTGATTACTGGAATTGCTCACCGGATGAAAGCTCCATAGTTGGCGTAAACACTTTTACGCATTTCCTCGGCAGAGGCCTTCTTCAGCTCGCCAAGGTAGAAGCACAAATGCTTGATTTCCTGATCAAGAATTGGAATTAAGAGAGAGTGTAAAGAAAAAAGAGGGAAGAAAAGAGGGAAAAAATGGTGGACCTTCTCGGTCATGGCCTGGCATTTGGAGGTGACATAGGCATCGACATCGTACTTAGAGGATTTGAAGCCCTTTAATCGATCTTTGAGCGATAGATTTGATTCGAGTTCTGAATAGTCTATGCTGGAGGAGAATGATCCTCTCGCCAACGAGTCCATGTTTTGTGAATCGCAGAATTCAGAGCAAAACAGAAAATGGAAGAAAATTAGAAGGCAGAAGCAGACTGATTATTTTATAACTGAGGAGCTGGACGCCATTGATGGATCGAGAGGAAGAAGAAGATGGGGATGAGGATGAGGGAAACATCAAGAAAATGATATGGAAGCTTGCTTGAATTCAGAGAGATCAGAATGACTCGCTGAGTTTGTTAGGGCCTTGATGAGTTTGTTAAGGGCCTTTTTTTTCCTCTTTCTAAAATTGAGTTTTTTTTTTTAAAGAAAAACTATCTATATTTAATATGTATATTTCTTTATGTGGGTTTAGTCAAATTTTAAAATTTTGAGAACTATATATTCTTCATATCCTAGAACAAAATAAATACTATGGAGATTGAGATTATGATAAGAAATTCAATGGGAAAATCATGATTATCCGCTCTATCGAGAACTTTTAACGCCTAGTTAAGGTATATATTTTCGAATTTCCATCTCCTATATATATAAATTTATTTTAAAAATAAGATTTTTGTTTGATAAATTAAAGTTTTTATATTTAATTAGATTTAAAAGTGGAATATGAAATGTGCTTGAATCTAAAAAAATATTGCAACTTCTCTACTTTGTATGACTATAAAATGGTTCTAATGTGAGCATAGTTCAAGGAGCTAGGACACCATTGATAGAAGGTTAATGAGTGTTCAGGGATAAAAATCCTATTGCCATGTGCGCCACTAACTAGATTCGAAAGAACACTTACGGAGCTCCATCTTGGAACCTTTCGAGATGGAAGACTTGCCATTTTCGATTGAGGGTCAACCCGTCATTTTTAGGAAACTGTCTGAGCTCGATCTGCTGGAGCCCGACACAACTGATCTCAAATCCGACCAAGGTAATCGCTAGTCGCAGCCCTTGTCGGAACCAAAAACCTATAAATAGAGGGCCTCATTTTACCGTTAGATATCGAATTTCTCTTCGAACCTAATATTGAGTCCGAGCTGCTTACTGACTTAAGAGTCGAAGATTTTGCCCTCTTGTGCAGGTCTTCCCTTAGCGTTTCTGGTCGGAGCAAGGATCGAGTTCGAGCTAGATTGACGTTGTGCAATTTCTGCATAAACATTTGGCACCGTTTGTGGGAAAGACAACTTAAGTCATCCCAATAACTAAGTGATCCGAGATGGTGCAGCCGGCAAATTTTGCTAATACGGCGAAACGTAGAGGGCTTAGCTGGAACAATGGCACTCAACGCGAGGTTGACGGTAAGGTGGCCGAGGATCAAGCACGGACGGGACAAGAGGTAGATCCACCTTGGAGGTCCACCCAACATGCGAATACGATCCTGCCTCCTGCTCATCTGAGGCCCGCTAAGACCAACCGAGGTCGAGGTGGGGTCTCGAAGAAGACTTCCCAGAGGCATGTGCCAGCTGCCGACCCAGAAGTTCTCACTACCCTCCAGCCGGAGCTAGATGACATGCGCAATCGGGTACGCACCATGGAGGAAACTTATAATGAAATGATGCGGGCGAATCAGACTGGGTCTCATTTCAAGGCCCCAGGCGGAGGGGATGACTTGCCGGATGATGGGGACAATCAGGATCCACCCCTCCACCTGGATGACTATCAGCTCATTGCCGACAGTGGGGGAGTTGACTATAGCTTGCGGGACCACGATCTCAGAAAGCACCTCGTCGATAAAAAGAGGAATGCCTCGCGGGGCCCAGGGATCTCTCCATCCTGCTCTCACAAATATTCTAACTCCGACCTCAAGGCCCAGTCGAAGTACAAAGCGTTGACACCGGAGGCTGTGATTACGAGGGAAGAGTTATACCTGATGAAGCACATGTTCGACGAACAAGTTGAAGCACTAAAAGTGAAGTGCGAAAAGAAAGACAGTCCATTTGATGATGGCGAGATGTGTGAATCACCATTCACCTCGGACATCTTGGAGGCGTCAATCCCTCCAAAGTTCAAAATGCCCGCTATGAAGCCCTATGATGGGTTTAAGGACCCGAAGGACTACGTTGAGGTCTTCGAAGGCCTCATAGACTTCCAGGCGGCAACCGACGCCATCAAATGTTGGGCATTTCAAATCGCCCTCACAGGCTGTGCTCGACTCTGGTATAGGAGGCTGCCGGCAAGGTCGATCTCAACCTACAGTCAGTTGAGGAAAGAGTTCATAAGCCAATTCTCTTTTCGACATTATGACAGGAAGACAGCCACTCATCTCGCCACCATTCAACAAAAAAAGGGTGAGATTTTGAGAGAATACGTGACCCGTTTCCAAGAGGAGCAACTTAAGGTTGCGCACTGCTCTTACGATTTGGCCATGTGTTACTTCCTCACTGGCCTGGCCAATGAGACAATGACAGTTAAACTGGGCGAGGAAGCCCCGTCAACCTTCGCTGAGGTCTTGCAAAAGGTCAAGAAGGTTATAGATGGGCAGGAATTGCTCAGAACGAAGTTAGGTCGGACGGACAGAGGGACTGACCAGAAGAAGTCAGGCGGCAAGATAAAGGGAAGTTTGATTCGAAGTTTAAGGACAAAGGGTCATCTTCTCAACCCTCATAGGGCCGATTCGATTACAGGAAATTCGACTCGGACTCCAGTCGAAGGGGCCCTTACGAGAGGTACACCCCAACCACCATTCCGATCTCCGAGATTCTCACTAACATCGAGGAAAACAGATTGGAAAAGCTCCTCAAGTGGCCTGGCAAGCTTAAAGGAGACCCAGAGAAGTGCAGCAAGGACCAGTACTGTCGTTTCCACTACGACCACGACCATGATACCTCTAGCTGTTGGGAGTTGAAACGCCAGATTGAAGATCCGATTCAAGACGGCTACTTCAAAAAATATATTGGCAAGCCGGGCTCGGGCTCGGCAGAGAAGAAGGAAGAGAGGAAGCGTTCAAGGACGCCACCTCGGAGGGATGATCGACCTGCGGTCATCAACACTATTTTCGATGGCCCAAGTAGGGGCCAATCCGGAAACAGAAGGAAGAAGCTTGCAAGAGAAGCTTGGCGCGAGGTTTGCATCGTTCAAGAACAGAAGCCGACCTGCCCTATTACCTTCTCAAACTCCAACCTGGATGAGGTACAGTTACACCACAATGATGCTTTGATGATTTTGCCGCTGGTAGACCACGTTTAGGTTAGGAGGGTGTTGGTGGATGGAGGTGCTTCAGCCAACATCCTATCTCTCACCACTTACTTAGCGTTGGGATGGACTAGGGCACAGCTAAAGAAAAGTCCAACGCCCTTAGTTGGATTCGCGAGAGAATTTGTCACTCCCGAAGGCTGCATTGACCTTCTCATTACCATTGGCCAGGGTTACACCCAAGTCATGCAAATGGTCGAGTTCGTGGTGAGTGATGGTCAGTCAACTTACAATACCATCTTCGGCCGACCCATCATTCATTCACTTCAAGTCATCCCGTCAACCCTACATCAAGTGATGAAATATTCAACTATTAATGGGGTCGGCATGATCCGAGGAGAACAGAAGACATCTTAGGAGTGCTATACCTCTACACTCAAAGGGTCAGCAGTTTGTGCTGTGGAAGAACGGTCAAATCTTCTAAGTCCAACTACTCAAACTTCCAAGGACGAACTGGCCCGAGTTAATAAGTGAGAGATAGTAGCGTCCACAGAAGAGTTGGAGCTTGTCCCTTTGCTCAACCCAGAGAAGCAAGTGAGCATTAGGCACCAAGTTGGCCGCGGATAGGGAATAACTCATCTCCTTCCTTAGATCGAACTCGAACGTGTTCGCATGGTCTCACGAAGACATGCGAGGCATTGATCCGAAGATAATGGTTCATCGCCTCAACATTGACCCATCATTCCGACCTGTTAAATAAAAGAGAAGATCTATAAATGTAATTGTTGAGGAAGTAAACAAATTATTAAAGGCTGAATACATAAAAGATATTCATTATCCCGAGTGGCTTTTTAACGTTGTCCTAGTTAAAAAAATCCAACGGAAAGTGGAGAACGTGTGTAGATTTCACCAATCTTAACAAGGCTTGCCCAAAAGACTGTTTCCCACTACCGAGGATTGACCAGCTTGTAGACGCTACGGCCGGGCACGAGTTGCTCACCTTTATGGACGCCTACTCCAGATACAATCAAATAAAGATGCACGAACCAAACCAAGACCGCACCTCTTTCATAACAGATCAAGTCCTATACTACTATAAAGTCATGCCCTTTGGTCTAAAGAACGCAGGGGCAAATTATCAAAGGATGGTGAACAAAATGTTCGCCAACCAGATCGGATGCAATATGGAAATCTACGTGGATAACATGCTTGTCAAGAACAAGCAGTCTAGGTCGCACCTGGCCGACCTGACCAAAACTTTCGGGGTCCTTGATAACTCTCCAAAAGAGAGTTATTTTGGTGATTATTTGGGTGAAAATGTGCATTAAAATGTCAAAGTGTGTCAGTTTTAGGTCAGAATTAGCATGAATAGTGTTAAAATGTAAATTCTTAGCTAAATATCCTTAGTCTTGATAACTTTGGCAAAAAACAGCATAAACTCTCGTATTTGTGGTTCATTTGCACATATTTTTAAAGAAGAGCTAAGAAGTGAAGGAAGTGCTAAACCAGAGAAGAGCAGTCAAAGTATTTTCAAGACAGAGCATATAAAAGCTAGAGCATAGCGATGCTAGAGCATGGAGTGACCATACAGTTAATTTCAAAAACACGGGATTCACTTATGTCCGTACAATTTTCAGCTGGATGCCCTAAATTTAGAACCCGATATAAAAGGGGCGTGTTGTGCTAGTCGCCACACACATAGCCCAACGGAGACAAAGTTTGAGAGCTGAAAAGACAAGGGAAGGGAATATACCCATTTTCAGGAGGAGAGCTGATGCCAGAAAGGGGAAGCTCACCTGTTGGAACGAGCTGACTGCTTCTTCTTCTCTGTCATTTAGCTATTTTTCTGCTATGGGTTGTATTTCTTCTTATTCCATTTTGTTTTCTTTACCTATTATGAGCTAAACCCCATTTTTGGGGGAGATTTACATGCTGTAACTGACTTGAGACTGAACCTGTAGTTGCTACATTTATTTTTAAGCAAATATGATTTTATTTCATAATCTTCGAGTTACTGTTGGCCGTTGTTTCGTGTATGCTAGCTTCTGTATTGACCCGGAAGGGCTTATGGGTGCTGATTTGTTTTGCTTGTGATTAGCGTTTTTCTATAGCTATATGGATACTCAAGAATGAGGTCCCCCTAATCATGCCTATAGCTTGGGTTTATT